AAAAAAAAAAAAAAAAACTTTACTTGTGAAATACGAAAAACTTATAGAAAAACAAGAGTGCCCGATATCAATCCAAGACTCGTATGAATCAAGAAAAGCCGAATGTCTTGAAAACAAGAACGATGGACAGAAGCAAACCAATCGAACAAATAAAACAACTGACGGACACTCCAAGAATCACTGATCTAAGCCAGAACAAGAAAATCAGATTGCCGACGAATCAAAATACTAAATCCTACAGGAATCCTATGTACCATGAAATCCCAATCTGACGCGCTTACCGGAAAGGTGAAACCGGAATTGGATTGGAAGCCGACCTCTGCGTTTGAATTGAGCTAAATTTTGTTTCTTTGGGAGAAAGAGTCAAACTTTAGCCAAGAATTGAGCAAGTGATTTTAGGGTTCGACGCGAAAGAAAAAAGGACATGATTTATGTATTCATTATAAATAATTTTACGAGACAGTACGTAAATAAATGAATTTTATTTATTTATTTATTTATTTATTTTTTTGGGTGATGGATATGAATATTTCAGTAGAATAAATAGGTAAAAAAAATTAATTAATATTTTTTAGATATATGGATAGAAGGAAAATAAATATCTGGAGTGCCAGCAAATAAAGAGTCACTGGACTAAGCCTTCTCTCTCACAGACAGCTCACAGGCCAATGTTCGAGGAATTCATAAATAAAATAAAAACCAGTACAACACTCGTGTATTATACGGGTGTTTACTAAAATATTTTTGTAAAATTTAAAATTAATGAGAAAAAATAGTTGAAAATTTAAATACCTTTTTAGTACGATACTTGTTACTTATGCGACTTGTCAGTGTTATATTATAATAATTTTTCTAACTTATGACATATAACTACATTAAACATAAATATATTAATTGAGAAATAGTTTTATTTTTCTAATTAATTTTAATTAATAATTTTTATTATTATGAAGATAAATAAAATTTATTTATTTTATATATACAATATGGATTTCAAATCGAAGTTCATCAAAAAAATGATTAATCTATATATATATAAAAAGAATTACCATTTCTCTAAAATAGTAGGTCAAATTTTGGTCACCATTAATTACCTACTATTTTTAGTAACTTTTTATTTTTATTTTTCTAAAATAGGGCAGCATTAAATGTTGCCCTTAAATTATGGAATTTGTTACTTTTGTTTCCCGAAAATAAAACTACCTTAAAGAAACAATTTTTTTTTTTTACGGGTGACTAATTGTTTTAGGTTGTAGTTTGATTTTTTAACAAAAAGAAAAAATGAAATCAGATTTTTACCTTCTCCATTTTGATATGGGATATTATATACCAGACCGGCTATATTGGGCTAACCGGGGAAAACAGACT